GTCATCACCACCCCCCGCCAACTCTTGGGCTACTCTTTTACCAACGAATAGTGGGATTGACCGTCACATTATAACGCCCCCACGGCTGAAAGGGCGAGCATGTTTGGTGTGACGGGGATTCGAACCTGCGACCCGCAGATTGCGAGTCGAGTGCCCTAACCACCTGGCCATGCCGGGCCTCTTTTTTATGCTATATGCTGTGTTTCAAATTAGGAGAAAAATGTCTTTCAAGGTTTGTATTTAATAAAAGGAGCAAAAATGACAGTTTACTTCATTAAACTCACTTATAATTACTGACTTCCTGTCGCTGTAACAGGATAATAGCGAAAACAATGAACCAATTATATTTCGAGAATGATTTGCAAATAAAGTTCTCAATATTTTTATCAAACAATGTAACTAAAAAGCTTGTAAAATTAACCTTACTTCTAAATAAGTAATAAAAAGAATATGTTTCGAGTGGATTTACCTATACAAGTGTTACAAGGTGCCAATATAAGATTAAATGCAATATTACTTACATTGTATATTTGTGTGTGTGTGTGTGTGTGTGTGTGTGTGTATGTGTGTATCAGTGGACAACACATATCGATTGTCATAATCTTAACTATTTGGTATGTCTTAATAATTACTTCTAATATCACTAAAAGTTAAAACAATGATTAACTTATTTAAAGTGACACATCCACGTAGTAGTCACGCTTCGGCAAGCAGAACTGGAACTTGACAGACAGTACGCTCGTGCGTAACATGAAAATATGATCACAATACTGTATTTTATATTCAAATATAGCTTAACCTTTCTTACGTAAGTGGGTCAAAAATAATATAAAGAGATAAATTAATAATTTCTGCCCGCGAGACAAGACGTTACTGATACACATAAAAGGATTTTGGAGCGAGTTCGCTGATTCTAAAGCATTCTAACACAAATATTCATCCATATTTTTACAATTACAAAGTTTATCCCGAAACAATGATTGTTATATTAAACTTGCATCATACTGCAACAATTTCCGCATTTTCCAAAAACACTTTGAAATTCGAAGTTTTTATCTTGAGAACTACCTATGGCTTTTTAAACATATTTTTTTAAAACTACAAATTGCTTGCGAGTCCATGACTTTCTTGGTTAATATACAAATCATACACACACACACAAACTATCAGTAATTCAGTTAATCCCGCTAATCTGTTCTGGGATCCCCATATGTATTTTATACAGAAAATGAATGATTTCATCCAATGTTTTGATCACTTCTTTACTGTATTCCGAAAATTTAAAACATAAAATTACTCAATAAGATACAATATTCATCTTACTGATAGTGAATGGTAAATAAGATGGTTATTTGGAGGGTAATATATTTTTGTTGATTCTTTATTTTTTATTTCTTTACTGTTTTTGTAGATAGTACCGTCAAAATAAAAAAGTTATCTGTAAAAATGCTAGAGGGACCAAGCTTGGCACAAGTGCTCAGGTACCCCGGACGAGTGTACTAAGAAGTTTCATTTTGGGTACCGACATCCCTTGGGGTAGCTATAGAAGAATTGGAAATAATAGAAAAGCTTGATCGGTAGATTCGGCTTTGAATCCCGCAGCGGAGCGAGTATTTTATGCTAGTTATTAAGAGTTAATACTTCTCGTGTTATACTTAAAGTATTCTTTCAAAAGTCACTTTTATAAAGATTTTAATTACTTTTCATTAAAATCTTGCTCGCAACCAAGGTGAAAGTGAATGATAATTAATATTTCCCTGAAATATATATTTTCCTACTAAAAATATTTACATTATTTTTCTTCAAAATAATAATAATATGCTATTATCAGCTAGAAAATAATTTCTTATTTAACTACGATTATATTAATATTTCTCCAACACGAGAAGTCTTACTCGAACTGACTTTTACAGAGTTATGCGACTTTCGATGGTTCATTGATCTTTTTGGTTAAGCACAAAGTTACACAAGGTGTGGCTATCTGAGTTGTGCCCATCAAGGGTATCGGAACCCTGTGGTTTAGCGTTATAAGTCTTACCGTTGAATCAATGTAGGGGGGAGCGGTCTCAATGGTAAAACTGAAGACTTATAATGATAAAAGTCAGGATTCGATCTCTTTTGGAAGCACTGCACATTCAACCACTGTACGACTTTGTGCCGAAAACAAACTTCTCAGTCACTTCGAAAATTAACTTCATTAATTCGAAATAATAAAGTGACTTCGTGATAAAAGTATCTTAAAAACTATTACTTTCGAAGTGGTAATGCAAATGTGTCGAT